TTTTTGAAGAGTCTCACTCTGTCGCCCAGCTTGGAGTGCAGTAGCATGCTCATGGCCACTGCAGCCTTGACCTACTGGGCTCAGGCGATCCTTCACTTCAGCCTCCCAAGTAGCTGAGACTACAGGTGCATGTCACCACACCTGACTAATTTGTTTGATTTTTTGTAGAGACAAGGTCTTGCCAAGTTTTCCAGGTTGGTGTTTTACCCCTGGCTCAGGCAATCCTCTTGTCTCCACCTCCCAAAGTGCTGGGATTACAGGTATGAGCCACCATGCCTGGCTCTGTCTTTCTTTATAGATGGTTTCTGGCTTTAATGTTGTGCTTTGAAGGTCTTCCCCTTGCCAAGATTATAAGAATAAATTTAAAAATTTCTTCCTTTTTCTGCTCATATACTCAGCAAGAATTACTCCGTGCAGGTAAAGGAGATATTTAGATCCATTATTTGGTAGTATGATTAGCTGCTAGACTTGTTCTTCTGCATTTCATGAAATCTTTGAAGACGTGGAATACTAGACAGAGAATGTTAATTATAGCCGGGCTCGGTGGCTCAGCCTAATCCCGCACCTTTGGGAGGCTGAGGTGAGTGGATTGCCTGAGCCCGCGGGTTCGAGACCCGCCTGGGCAGCGAGACCTCATCTCTACAATAAATCAAAAAAATCAGCCGGGCGTGGTAGCGCATAACTGTAATTCCGGCTACTCGGAAGGCTGAGGCGGAAGGATCGCTGGATCCCAGCTGGTCGAGGCTGCGGTGGCTGGGAGCGGCCACTGCACTCCAGTCTGGGCGACGGAGTAAGACTCCAACTCAAAAAAAAAAAAAGAATGTTAATTGTAACAGTCAGATGAAGTCACTCCCTGTAAAGTAAGACCAAATTGTTGACTTCTTGCCTTTTAGTTATTTATACCCCAAATGGCTGCTTGCACTGGAGAGAGTCCTAAGAAGGTGTGAGTGGAATGGCTTCCATTCTGATGAAAATTCTTTTCCAGACGTTTAGATTTTAGTGTATACTAAGTTAGACCAGGATGCTGTAATTTCTTTTACACTTATGTTACCATCAGGTTATGAGGAGTGTAGGATAAAATAGAAGGAAAGGAAAAGAAGGTGGATGTGTGGAAATAATTACGTAGGAAGGAGGGAGTGTGACAGCATTGAGGAGTAGCAGTGCAGAAAAATTTTTTATGAGTAGTAGAAAATCAGCACAGTGTGACCAACAGTTCCAGTCTCTAATCATATTTTGTTTTCTCTCGCTTGGTGGTTTTGAGCATTTGTGGTCCTAAACAGGTTGAAAACTACCATTTGCTTTAACCAGATCATTAACCTACAGTTTTGGTATTTTCATGGCAAAACTGTCTCTCTCTGTGTGTATGTGTGTTTAAACAGTCACCACTGTTTGAGTGAAGAATCACTGTGTAATTTCAAAAGTGAAACTCTGCTGTGATGCTCTCATTTCCTCCAGAGGCAATAAAGTAAGTAGTTGTCTGCCTCAAACTTGATTCTTTGCAAGTTGTAAGGAAGACTGTGGTTTTCTTTATTGTTCTTCAGTTCCTTGACATCTGACACAAATGTCTTAGCATAGTTGAAGACATTCTATAAGAGTATTTTTTAGACTTAGACTTAATTAGGATGAATTTGTAACTTTTCTATATTAGGGAAAGAGGGTATAAAGGAAAATCTTTAATTTTTAAAAAATTTAAATTCCTCATTTTTCTTCCTTATTTATTAGCTTAGCTACAAAGACTGTGTGTGTGTGTGTGTGTGTGTGAGTAACACACTTGTTTGGGATTTTTGACATTGAAAGAATATGACATGACAATTACTACCAGGATCTAGGAAATATTTTCTAACTTCTTATACTTTATAAAGTACTTTTGTATGCATTTTTCTCATAAAGAGAGATAGGTTGGAGGGATAAAAAGTATTGAAAACTCGATTATAGCCATCAAGGTTAGGAAGAGGGAGAATGGTACAACTGGTTGTAAGAAAACCTAGTTCTTTAGAATTCAGAGCCTGAGTTCTCATTGTTTTATGTTCCTTTTATACTCTTGCCTAAAAACAGGAAAAATTTTGAATGTATTGTTTCGGTGATATGAAAGGATAATAGTTCAGAAATGAAACGGAGGGGAGCTTTTTACTGAGCCAAAATTGTGATAGATGCATATTTAATTCTTATAAAGAGTAGGGATTAGGCCAGATGCAGTGACTCATGCTTGTAATCTCAGCACTTGGGAGGCCAAGGCGGGAGGATTGCTTGAGGCCAGGAGTTTGCGACCAGTCTGGGCAACATAGCCAAGAACTCCTCTCTATGAAAATTAAAAAATAAGCTGGACGTAGTGGTGCATGCCTGTAGTCCCAGCTACTTGGAGGCTGAGAGGGAAGGCTCACCTGAGGCCAGAAGATCAAGGCTACGCTGAGCCATGATTGTGCCATTGTACTCCATTCTGGGTGACAGAGTGAGACTCTGAGTCAAAAGTAAATAAATAAAAGAGTAGGTATTGTTAGTCTTACTTTACTGAGGAGAAAACAGACTCAGATAAATTAAAGTAACTTGCCCAGTGACACACAGGTAGAAAGTACTACACACATAAGCAAATCAAGGCTTTCTGATTCTAAGTTCGGTTTTTTTCCCTCTACATCACCGTTTATGTTTTTTTCCTTCCTTCTTTCTCTCTCTCTCTCTCTCTTTTTTTTTTTTTTTTAAGAGATGAGGTCTCGTCAAGTTGCCCAGGCTGGTCTTGAACCCCTGAGCTTAGGCCGTCCTTGCCTCCACCTCCCAAAGTGCTGGGATTACAGGCATAAGCCACCACACCTGGCCACAGTTTCTTCAGAATTAAATTTCAGAACAGTAGAAAGGATGTTCGTGCAAAGGATGAGAAAAGCAGGTGATTTAAAAATTATAAGTTACATTGTAAATGTTTCAGTATGACTTCGTTGAATTCTATTGTTTAACATGGGGTAGCATGAAAGAGCATGCTGTAATAAGCATTAAAGTTTTTTCTTCAGAATTTGGAAAAAATCATATAAAGAAAAATAACTTTAAGACTTTTAGTTACTAAAAATGATTAGGATCGTAAGAGGGTTCTTTTCTCTCACAGTATAAATCTCGTAGACAAGGATCACATTCTCCAGCTGTTTTCTCTCCAACTGTGCCTGGGATGATGAGATATGTATGTGCATGCATGATCAGTGAATACCTTCTGCTTACCTCTTTAATAATTGTGCTGTCATGAGCAAAAGGTTTACTTGCTTCTTTTTGCCCTGTTTTTGGTCAGATTCTGAGAATTTATATTACTTTTGATTAGGCAAATTATTTTAACTCAGTTAATTTTATCAGTTAGCCTTGCACACACATTAAAAGAATGCTACCGTGCACTTGATTGAAACTATCTGAATATGCAGAAATTACTCAGGGTAAACCAGTGTGTGTGTAAAGTGGTTCTATTTTACTACTGGAATTAGAATTTTATGCAGTTAATATTTATTGATGAATCTTTATTGCTTTTAGGACATTCGGAAATTCTTTGGTGTTATACCAAGTGGAAAGAAACTTGTAAGTGAAACAATAAAGAAGAATGAAAAATCAAAGTCTGCTGAAGAAACTTTAAAAGCAAAGAAAGGAATAAAGGAAATTAAGGTCAGTTTTCCCGATATACCTTTGCATCGTATGAAATGTTAAATAGGCTCAGTTCTTACACCGGATATGTTGGGAGACTTGAATGTAGATTTGACCCAGTTAGCAGAGGAAGGAGAAAGTAATAAGGCTATTCCTGACTTCTAATTAATATAGCTTACTGCATTCATAGCTTAGTGTAGAGATGGAACCCTTTTTAGTTGTTACAACTTTGCATTTTAAGACCAAAGTTGGCTTCTAGAGACATGAGCCCCTCAGGTGCACAACGGAAACTTCTGGTGAGAAGGCCTTGGAGGAAAGCTTTATTCTTTTCCTTGCCCTCCGAGATGTAAGATATAATGTCAGTATGTAAGGCAGTTATCGTACAGTAGTTTATTTGAATTAATATTGTTTCACTTTGTGTAAAAATGTAAGAATTTTGCCTCTCTGCAAGTCCATTTGCCACCACTCCATTTTTTTATGCCCTGGTTGTCATATATATTATATCTAACCATGTTAATACTCCACAGTTCAATGTAATTTTTCTTTATTTTTTAATTTCTTTTTTTGAGTTGGAGTCTCACTCTGTTGCCCAGACTGGAGTGCAGTGACACACTCACAGCCACCCCAGCGTCGACTTGCTAGGCTCCAGTGATCCTTCTACCTCAGCCTTCCGAGTAGCTGGAACTACAGGCATGCACTACCATGCCCGGCTGATTTTTTATTTATTGTGGAGATGAGGTCTCGCCAAGTTGCCTTTATTCTGGAAGGATATTTTGCTGGATATAAAATTTAGGTTGACAATTTTTTTGTTTTGTTTTTGAGCTAGAGTTTCACTCTGTTGCCCAGGCTGGAATGCAGTGGCATATTCATGGCCACCACAGCCTTGACCTGCTGGGCTCAGGTGATCCTTCCACTTTAGCCTTCAAATTAGCTGGAACTATAGGCATATGCCACTATGCCCAGCCATTTTTCTTGATTTATTTTAGAAATGAGGTCTTTCCAAGTTGTCCAGGCTGGTTTTGAACTCATGGACTCAGGTAATCTTCTTGCCTTGACCTCCCAAAGTGCTGGGATGTAGGCGTGAGCCATCATACCTGGCCTGACAGTTTTTTAAATTTCAGACTTTTAAGAATATTCCATACACTATCTTTTGGCTGCCAGTTTGTCTGATGAGATGTTATCACTACTTCATATTGTTTTCTCTCATTTGTAATCTGTTGTTTTTCTCATGGTTCATTCAATTTTTTTTATTTTTGGTTTTCAGCAGTTTGACTATGGTGCGTCTGGGTGTGGTTTTCTTATGTTTATCTGTTTTTGATTTCTGAGCTCCTTGAATCTGTATATTTATATCTTTCATCAAATTTGGAACTTTTTGCTATTATTTCTTCAAATATTTTTTCTGCCTCACTCTTTCCACTTCTTGAATTACAATGACATACATGTTAGAATTTTCATATTGTCTCACAGATCATTGAGTCTTGTTCATTTTTACCAATTTTTTTTATATTGGGTATTTTTTTTCTTGTCTTCAAGTTTATTGATTCTTCTTTTATATTCAATCTGCTGTTAAGGCAATCTATTGACATTTTTGTTAAATATTGTATTTTTCAATTTTAGAATTTTTATTCATAGTTTTGTAGTTTTTATTTCTCTCTTTTGTGTTCTTAACGTGTAGTTGTGGTAACTGCTTTACATTTCTTGTCTGCTAATTCTAGCCAGGCATGGTGGCTCAGGCTTGTAATCCCGGCACTTTGGGAGGGTGAGGTGAGAGGATTGCCTGATTCCAGGGGTTTGAGACCAGTCTGGGCAACTTGGTGAGACCCCGTCTCTATAATAAATCAAAAAATTAGCTGGGCATGGTGATGCACAACTGTAATTCCAGCTACTTGGAAGGCTGAGGCAGAAGGATTGCCTGAACCTAGTAGGTCAAGGTTGTGGTGGCTGTGAGTGCCACTGCACTGCATTCCAGCCTGGGTGACTGAATGAGACTCCGATTCAAAAAAATTAAAAGTAAAAACACTAAGTTTCTTGTCTGCTAATTCTAACATCTGGGTTATGGCAACATTGGTCTTCAGTAAGTGCCTTTTCTCTTGAGTCTTTGTGTCATGTAATAGTCAGTTCAGGCCACCATAACAAAATACCATAGAATAGGTGGATTAAGCAACAGAAATTTGTTTTGTCCCGGTTCTGGAGCCTAGAAGTCCATGATCAAGGTGCTGAATTGATTTGGTTTCTGGTAAGGACTTTTTTCCTGTTTTGCAGATGGTTACCTTTTTACTGTGTCCTCACATAACCTTTTCGTGGTGCATATGGGTGGAGAGAGAGCGCTTAAGTCAGCACTGTAGTTGTGAGAATGAGAGAGAGAGATACTGAGTGAACGCTCTGGTGGGGGGGGAGAGAAGAAGAAGAAGAAGAGAGAGATTGAATGAGCACTGTAGTGCTTGTTCTCATAAGAATGCTAACCCTATCAGATTAGGACCCCACTCTTATGACCTTTTAAAATCCTTAATTACTTGTTTAGACATTCTGTCTCCAAATATAGCCACACTGGGAGTTAGGGCTTCAACATATGAATTTTGGGGGACACAAACTTCAAGGACATAATATTCCGCCCACGGTCACCCAAAACTCATGTCCTTCTTGCATGCAAAATATATCCATTTCATCCCAGTAACCCCCAAAAGACTTAACTCATTCTAGTATCAAGTCTGAACTCCAAAGTCTCATCTAAGTCAGATATGGATGAGACTTGAGGTCTGATTCATCTTGAGGCAAAATTCCTTTCTAGCTGTGAACCTGTGAAACCAAATAAGGACTGTGCTTCTAAAATGTGATGGTACAATAGGCATAGGATTGATGTTACCATTACAAAGTAGAGAAATCAGTAAGAAGAGTGATGGATCTCAAATAAGCCTAAGACCTAACAGGACAAATTCTATTAAATATTAAGACTTGAGAATAATCCTCTTTGGCTTGATGTCCTGCCTTCCAGACCCACTGGGTAGTGGCCCCATCCCCACAGACCTACGTAACTCTCCTGTTCCTGTAGCACTGCTGGACCATCCTGCTCGGAAGTCTTCTGGAAGGGACTGTCTGAGCTGTTGAAATGTAGGTAGTGTCTCTATCCTTGAAACTGAAGAGACAGTTTGATCATCTCTGAGTTGCCTTTGGGATCTTTCTTCCCTTTTCTTGAAGAATAGCTATGTTGTCATGTCATGTAGAATCTCAGAAGTCTGACAGCTTTCCTTTATTTTGTCCTACTTCTATCCTCTTCAAACTGGCAGTGTTTCTGCTTATATAATCCCATACATCTCCTTATCCTAGTGGTGGTCCAGCTACACCCTGGGTGTCTTCAGCATATGCTTTCTCATTTTTTTGCAATATGGACAGGCTGAGAGTTTTCCACATCTTCAAGTTCTGGTTTCTTTTTGCTTGACAATTTTTTCTTCAATTGATCTCTCCCTCTTGCATTTTACTATAAGCATTCAGGAGGACTCAGGCCACATCGTCAACATTTGCTTCAAAATCTCCTCAGCTAAATATCTAATTTCATTATTCACAAGTTCCATCTTTCACAAAGCAATGGAACACAACTTAGCCAAGTCCTATGCCACTTTATAACAAGGATTGCCTTTCTTCCAATTTCCAATAACCTATTCCTTATTTCCATCTGAGAACTTACTAGGTTGACTTGTAGCTTTCGTATTGTAATCTCTGGGATGAAAGAGGCTTCCTCTGTCCCTCTCCTCTTTTCTTCATAATCACTTGATATCCATATTTCTACCAGCAGTCTTTCATAGCAATCTAGGCTTTTTCTAGAATGCATCTCAAAACTCCTATAGCCTCTACTATTACCAATCCCAAAGTCACTTTTATATTTTAGATATATATATCTTTTAACAGTAGTATCTCATTTCTTGGTTCCAAAAACTGTATTATATAGTCTGCGTTCTACAGAGAAACAGAACCAATAGGGTGTGTGTGTGTGTGTGTGTGTGTGTGTGTGTGTGTGTGTGTGTGTACGTGTGTACACCTATCATGAGGAATTGGCTCATGTAATTCTGGAGAATGAGAAGTACCAAGATTTGCAGTTGACATGTTGGAGACCCAGGAGAGCAGATGGTGTCATTCCATCCAGTCCAAATCTAAACGCCTGAGAACCAAGAGAGCTCATACAGTGTGGTTCCAGTCTAAAGGCCAGTGGGCTTGAGATCCTGGAAGAGGTGATATCTCAGTTTGAGTCCAAAGGCAGGAAAAAAAATGATGTCCCAGCTCACAAGCAGCCAGGCAGGAGGAGTTCCTTCTCATCAGGCCTTCAGATGGTTTGATGGGACTCAATGCCATTGGAGAGGGCAATCTACCTTACTTAGTATATTGATTTAAATATTATGCTAATCCAAAAACATCCTCACAGAAACACCTAGTTTGATGTTTGACCAAATATCTGGGTATCCTGTGGTCCAGTCAGGTTCACACATGAAATTCACCACAGGTCACAGTTCCTCTTTCTCTATATGTCTAGTTCTGGGTTTATCTTGGACATTGTGAATGATGCAGTATAAGAACTTTGGATTCTACTGTATTCCTCCAAAGAGTGTTGATTCTTTTGGTTTATCAGGCAGTGAACTTGGCTGAACTCAAGCTCCAAGCTCTTGCCTCCCCTTTGATGGGCAGCAGCGGAACTCTTTATTCAGTTCTTTTACCCTTAGCTAAGTACTGGAGTTGTTTCACCATTTATATAGTTCAGTAGATAGTGAGAGATGTGGGCAAAGTTTACAGGCATAATTTGGGACTCCCTTTCTGTGATTCTTTCCCTCCCATGATAACTTCACTTATTTTTGAGTTACTGTAGTAACTCTGTCTTTGATCCAGTGGTATATGTACATTATGACGGTTCATTTGTATTTTCTTGCAGACTCGTTGATTGTTCTTATGTTTTTGAAGTTTTATTATGGTGGATGGAAATAGCTTATATTTCTACCTTATACTTGATAACAGTCAAATTTTGTTTTTCTGTCTGCTTTCTTGATGCTTTTTGGGAAAATTTAAGTATGTTAGAAATGTGATGTTTAACTATAAAATATAAATAATGCCTTTTACATTGGTTTTATTTAACTTTCCAGCAGTCATTGGTAGTGGTGGGCCACTAGCTTACCTTTTATTTCTGTTTCTGCCTCTTCATTTTCAGGAAACACTTGCCTTGTAATGTCTGACATCTTTTTATTCTTTGTTATCCATAGGCTAGTGTTAAAAGTGAAGCTGAATAATAACATAGCTTTTTCTATGATTCTTTCATTCCCATTGTGATACAATTATTGTCTGGTCTGTTTTTAGCTCCATAACGGTATTAATGGCAGTTTGGGCTGGTTAATTCTTTGTTAGATAGTTGGAGGACTTTCTTGTGCCTTTTAGGGTGTTGCATAGCCTCCTTGGTCTACATATTGGATGACAGCAAACACTTCCCACCATAGTTGTGATAAGCAAAAACATCTCCAGTCATTGACAAATGTCTTCTTGAGGGGCAAAATTGTCCCTGGTGGAGAACCACTGAGGGAAAGTCTAATGAGGAAAGAAGGATACGTTATCTAGGCTTCTTTGTGTGCTAATTATGCTGTGATGTCTATAGGTAAATAGCTCTTGTAAAGAGGATGACTTCAAACTGAAGCAACCAAACAAGAAAAAGAGGATCATCTATGATTCAGGTAATATTTCTTCTGAAGTGCTTTAAAGTTTGAAAGTTATTTTTGTTATCCCTTAGAACAGTGTTTTCTAAACTGTGTTCTGAGACACATAGCTTTCTGTGATGTTAATAGGTGCTATGAGAAGAGGGCTGTATGTTTAAGTAAGATTTAAAACAATTTCATTTAACTGTAGAATTTTATTTTTTTTGGAATTGGAGTCTCATTCTGTCGCCCAGGCTGGAGTGCGGTGGCATGCTCATGGCCACTGTAGCTTCTACCTGCTGGGCTCAGGTGATCTTTTTGTTTCAGCCTTCCAAGTAACTGGAACTACAGGAACGTGCCACCATGCCCTGCTTATTTTTTTGGTTTATTTTAGAGATTATATTTCTTTGAATTACCCATACTGGTCTTAAACCCATGGGCTCAGGCAGTCCTCTCACCTTAGCCTCCCAAAGTGCTGGGATTATAGGTGTGAGCCACTGTGCCCAACTTGATATATTTATTTTAAAATAATTCATATTAGGCCGGGCTCGGTGGCTCAGTCTGTAATCCCAGCACTTTGGAAGGCTGAGGCGATTGGATTGCCTGAGCCTGTGAGTTCGAGACCAGCCCAGGCAACTTGATGAGACTTTGTCTCTACAATTAAAAAAAAAATGTGTGTGTGTGTGTGTGTGTGTGTGTGTGTGTGTGTGTGTATTCATATTCATTTAGATTTCTTTTTCAACTGAGATTCTGGAAAATTGGATTTGAAAAATAGTGCCTTAGAATATTATTTTAAAAGCAAAGATTCAGAGTTTAATTCAGACTTAAATTTTAATTCTTTACTGAAAGATCTGGCTTTTTTCTGCATTTAAAAAGGAAGAAGCACAATTTAAAGACGTTTCTTTGAATGTAGTTTTAAAATAAGGAACATAAATTTTTGTGCATGTCTTTTTTTTTTTTTTGAGTTGGAGTCTCACTCTGCTGCCCAGCTGGAGTGCAGTGGCATGCTCATGACTACTGCAGCCTCAGCCTCAACCTCCTGGGCTCAGGCAATCCTTCCGCCTCAGCCTTCCAAGTAGCTGGAATGACAGGTGCATACCACCATACCCAGCTAATTTTTGATTTATTTAGAGAAGAGATCTCGTCAAGTTGCCCAGGCTGGTCTCGAACCCCTGGGCTCAGACAGTCCTCTCGCCTTGGCCTCCCAAAGTCCTGGGATTACAGGTTTAAGCCACCGTGCCCAACCTTGTGCATGTCTTTTATAATGTACAAAATGGTGGAAAAATTATGGCAGAATTCAGAAAGTTTTGATTTTTGCTTTCGTGGAGAAGATCTGTATGGTGTGAATTCATTCTTTAATTTTTACTTTTATCTGGTGTGAATTCTTAAAAATGTAGGGTAAGGAAGCATTTACGGATTATCAAGGTTTTAACAGTGATGTCAAAGATTCTGACTCAATTCTAAAAGTATAACAGTGTTTACTGTGTATCTTTTGCTGCTCTGTATTGTAAGGGATTTGAAGCAAGTACATGTCCCTCTTCCCCAGGAGTTTCCTTTTCTTTTGGAAATTCAATTGTTTGATACAGTTTTGAGCAGTATGAGTCAGGATTTATAAGTGCATTGTGCAAGGGAAGAGGAAGGACACTGAAGTTTATAAAACTTTATTTCGTATGAGGTACTATGCTAGATATTCACACTTTGTCCTGATTTCTGTTTAAGTACTCTGGGCGATTAGGCAGTAGGAGACAGAATGATGGCCTCCAAAGATTTCCACAGCCTAATTCCTAGAACTTGTGAATACATTAGGTTACATGGCAAAGGGAAATAAAAGTTACATTACAAATGGCTAATCAGGTGACCTTAAAAACAGGAGGATTAGCCTGGATTATTCAGGTGGACTTAATGTAGTCACAAGGAATAGGGAGGCAAAAGAAGAGATTTAGAGAGAGATTAACTGTGGAAGAAGGTCAGAGAATCAGAGATGGTAGCATGAGGACTCTGCTTGATGCTGCTAGCTTTGAAGATGGAAGGAAGGGCCTTGAGCCAAGAAATGCTGGTAGAAACTGGAAAAGGCATGGAAATGGATTCATTCCTAGAGCATCCAGGAAGGAACACAGCCCTGCTGACACCACATCTCTAGCCCAGTGAGATCCATATTGGACTTCTAACCTCCAGAGCTGTAAGATAGTAAATTTATGTTTTTTTAAGCCACTAGGTTTGTGGTGATTTGTTACAGCAGCAATAGAAAACTAATGCATAAACTTAGCACTGAGTAATAGTATCCTGTGAAAATTCACACAAGAGATATGCCTTGAAAAGAACCTTGAGGGAGAGCTTTTTCTTTTGTAAAATGGAGGGCACCCTGGTTAAAAAACAAAAATAACAACAAAAAAGAAGACGGCCTTGAGCGAGTGAGTCACAATAACTGCTCTAAAAATGCTCTATAAACTTTTTTTCAAAGTTTTGTTTTATTTTTTTCTCACAGATTCAGAGTCAGAGGAGACAGTGCAGGTAAAAAATGCCAAAAAGCAACCAGAAAAATTGTCTTCTAAATCTGGTAAAATTTTACGGCAGGATCCTGTTACATATGTTTCAGAAACAGGTAAGGTTATTGACAATGTTCAGTCTTTGAAGAGATTCAGTGTGTGCTACATTCTTGAGCTCTTCATTGGTGTCTAAATGTACTTCCGTCTCTTGGAGTGGAATTTCTATTATCCTTTTGCTTTGTTGAATTATATTTATCAGGGGAAGGCTGTAATCTTGCCATTTCCTGTGGCTTATGGGCCAGTTGGCTTTTGGAATTTAAAAAAAATGCTCTATATTGAATTATATATTGAAGCTTTATCTTGAGTCACATTTAAATATTATTGAGTTGTTTTAAAACTACTTTTTTAATTAAAAATTTTATCTTGCATGCTCGAGTTATAATAATTATAGTTGTAGAGGTTATTCATATTTGTGATTTATAATTTAGCACAGAACTCCCTTAATTCTCTGGTGACACTAAAGATTTTAGTATTGGCTTTTTTTTTTTTAAAAGGTTGTTATGTACTCAAGTTTATTTTCTGTTGAATATGTTTTAAGAGTGACCAAAGAGCCTGTCCACTCATCTTAAGATTTTGTAGTATAAATATTATTTATAAAATTTTTTACCAGTAGAATCCTCAGTGAAAAAATATTATGTTTCATAGATAGTATGCTTTTATGCAAGGATTCCTGAGTTATATTGTCATCCTAGAAAAATTCTCAGAGAAGTTAGTGGTGAAGTCATTTTGAGCCTAATATTGTTAACTCCTAGAGGAGACCATGACAAGAATAGTAAGGAGAGATGAACATGCAAGGGCCTGAACATGCAAGGGCCAGACCCTGTACCTGGTATTTACACTAGTTAGTAGGCAGTCAAAAGGAAACAAAAACAAAACTCATGAACAAAAACAAAGCTCACCAATGAACTTTGTAGGCAATGGGAAACATTTATTGGTGAAGTTGTTCAGAATGATCAAAGACAAAATGTGAGTGATGTGAACATATTTTTGGGAAAGCTTTAGTTTTAGTAAGCTGAGATGTTTCTTTGTCACGATCAGGAGGCAGATTGACTCCCTCTCCCCCCCCTTTTTTTTTTTGAGTCAGAGTCTTACTCTGTTGCCCAGGCTGGACTGCAGGGGCATGCTCATGGCCACCACAGCCTCGACCTGCTGGGCTCAGGTGATCCTTCCGCTTCAGCCTTCCAAGGAGCTGGAACTATAGGCACGTGCCACCACACTTGGCTAATTTTTTAAATTTATTGCCCAGGCTGGTCTTGAACCCGTGGGCTCAGGCAGTCCTCTCACCTCAGCCTCCCAAAATGCTGGGATTACATGCGTGAGCCACCGCACCTGGCCTCAGACTGACTCTTTTAACCTTTTTGTTCTATTGCTAAATATCTGCTCAGGCACACTGTGCAAATGAACTCTTCCATTAAGAGGCACCCCCCTTAGGTCTTTGTGAAGTTTTGAATATGTGGGAGGGATAGTAAAAACAGTATGGTGATAGGTTTATTATGTGACTGAAGGTGGTGTGATCGAGCTTTCCAGTGACACCCTGAAAACGTCAACGTTAGTGTGCAGACAGCCATGGCCTTCAACTGTGGATCAAGGCCATCGTTATCTTGTGATTTTAAGTACACAAAAAGGTCAGACAATTTAAGCTCTGATCACAGATTTTCTTTTACAAGGGACTGTTTGTTTCAGATGAGGAATTTTTGAATTTTAATTTCTAAAGAGATGTTCATATTTTATCTGAACTTCTTATAAATGTTAGGTAGTGTTTGTGTCATTCTACCATGTGAAAGTAGACATTGTCCCTCACTTGTAGCTGAAAATCTTGGGGTACTATGTATCTATCTAATGTGATATTCAGCATTACACGGTATTCTCTTTTTTTCTTAGAACAGAGATGCGGGGAAGAAGCTAGCTCTAGTCTTGGCTGTTTTATCTTCTTGTACCTTTTTATTCTTTGACATGATAAGTCAAAGGAGGAGGGAGGAAGATAAGTCCTTTCTTCCATAAAAGAGAATGAGACTTTCTTCTTAAAAGTCCATGATAAAATTAGCATAACAAAGTCAGAAATATAACAGTCTCAAAAAGGAAATATGCACCTTCTTAAAATTAATTCACTACTGGATAGTCTTTGACCTTAAAACAATTCTTTTATTGTTCTTTTTCTTTAAGCTAAACCTATACTTTTCAATATTAGGTCATAAATATTTTTGTTTTATATTACCAGTGTAATGTTAAATAAAATATTTGTGTGTTTGTGTGTGTGTTTTATAGACTTGTGCCCAATATTTGTGTTAATAATAATTTCAAAATTCTAATCTAAAGTATATTCTTTATTTGAAGATTAGGGTTTCTTGGGGAAGTTTGTTTTTGTTTTTTTTTTGGAGTTAGAGTCTCACTCTGTCGCCCAGACTGGAGTGCAGTGGCCGCTCCCAGCCACCGCAGCCTCGACCTGCTGGGCTCTGGCAATCCTTCCGCCTCAGTCTTCCAAGTAGCCGGAATTACAGGTGCGCGCTACCACGCCCGGCTGATTTTTTGATTTATTGTAGAGATGAGGTCTCGCTGCCCAGGCGGCTCTCGAACCTGCGGGCTCAGGCAATCCACTCACCTCAGCCTCCCAAAGGCGCGGAATTACACCAAACCTGGTGAGGAAAAGTTTTATATCACATGGTTCAGTTTAAAAACCTGTTAATTGTGAAATAGAGAATTTTTGCTTTATTATTCCATACTTTACCTTTTCTTTGATGCTTCTTTTCTGTATTCTGATCTTAAAAACATAACCTTTGGTTTCTGTTGGCATTTTTTTGCAGTATAGAATGCATAGAGTTTAAGAGCACAGCCCTGGTTAAGTCTTAGCTTACTTTTCCTGCTTTTTTACTTCCCTCACATATAAAATGGAGATATTGCTCATGCCTGTATCAGTGGCCTTTGTGATGGTCAAATGAGATAATGCTTGAAAAGCATTTAAAATAGGGTTTGACAGATAATAAATTCTCAGTAAATACTAGCTGTCTTTCATATGTTTTGACTCTAAAATAAACCTACATTTGCCTTTAAAGACATTTTGCATTTGATTAGGTACTTAAGGCTTTCTGTTGATGATGTAACCATGCTTTTAGAAATGGTATTTGACCTATCGATGTTATGGCTGTGTGCTCTCTGTTATGGGAACTTTAGTTACATTTGGGTGTTGAGTGCTTTAAATATGCTTAACCTGAACTGAGACAGTTGTTAATGTAAAATATACATAGATTTCACACAACAAAGGAAAAAAATCAACAAAGTAAAATGACAACCAATGAATTGGAAAAAACTATATGCAATCCATGTATCTGATTAGGGGTTAGTGTCTAAAAAAAAATTTTTTTTTTTAGGGATCTCGATGTGTCACCCAGGCTAGTGTGCAGTGATATGATCACAGTTCACTGTAACCCTAAACTCTCCGCAGCCTTGAATTTCTGGGCTCAAGCAATCCTCCAACTTCAGCCTCCCAAGTAGCTGGAACTATAGGCACATGCTACCACGCCCGGCTAATTTTTCAATTTTTTGTAGAGATGAGGTCTCATTATGTTGCCTAGGCTGGTCTTGAACACTTGGGCTCAAGTAATCCTCCCTCTTTGGCCTCCTGAAGTGCTGGGATTGCAAATGTGAGCCACTGCACCCTGCTAATGTCTAAAATTTATAAAGAACTTTCACAACTTAATAGTGGGACAACAAATAGCCTAATTAAAAAATGGGCAAAGAACCCAAATAGATATGTCTCCAAAGAATGCATAAAAGTGGCCAACAGGTCTGTGGAGAGGTGCGCAGTATCATTAATCATTTGGGAAATGCAAGTCAAAACCAGGAGGAGCCATCACCTCACTTCCATTAGAATGCTGTTATCAAGAGTTAAGAGATAACAAATGTTGAGGGTGTGGACAAAAGGGAACCCTGTACACTGTTGGTGGGAATGCAAATTGCTATAGCCATGGAAAACTGTGGAGGTTCCCAGTGAAATTAGAGCAATTGTATGAACCAGCAATCTTTCTTCTGGGAATGTACCCAAAGGAAATGAACTCACTGTGTCAGAAGGATATCTACTCCCGTGATCATTGCAGCGTTATGCACAATAGCCAAGATACAGAAACCACCTAGGTGTCTGACAAGGGATGAATGGATAAATAAATTGTGGTGTGTCTATATAATGGAATTTGGCTTTGAAAAAGGAGATTGCTAATGAACATTTGTACACCTAACCCTGAATTATACCCCACATATTTAAAATAAAAATTAAAAAAATTAAAACAAAGAAAAAAAAGATTGCCGTTTGCCAAAATGTGGATGGAAACTGGAGGACATTATGTTAAGTGAAACAAGTCAGTCGTGGAAAGAAAAATATTACATGATTTCACTTGTATGTGGAAGCTTTTTTTTTGAGTTGGAGTCTCACTCTGTCACCCAGGCTGGAGTGCAGTGGCTGCTCCCAGCCACTGCAGCCTCGACCTGCTGGGCTCCAGCGATCCTTCCATCTCAGCCTTCCAAGTAGCTGGAACTCTAGGTGCGTGCCACTATGCCCAGCTAATTTTTTGATTTTATTGTAGAGATGAGGTCTCGCCAAGTTGCCGGATGGGTCTGGAACCCGCGGACTCCGGCAATCCACTCACCTCAGCCTTCCGGCAATCCACTCACCTCAGCCTTCCAAAGCGTGGGATTACAGGCTGAGCCACAGAGCCCTGCTGGAAGCTTTCTTTTTTTGAGTTGGAGTCTCATTCCATCGCCCAGGCTGGAATGCAGTGGCATGCTCATGGCCACCCCAGCATTGACCTGCTGGGCTCCGGCGATCCTTCCACCTTAGTCTTCCAAGTAGCTGGAACTATAGGTGCATGCTACCATGCTCAGCTAATTTTTGATTTATTGTAGAGATGAGGTCTCACCAAGTTGCCCAGCTGGTCTCGAACCCACAGGCTCAGGCAATCCACTTGCTTTGTTCTCCCAAAGTGCTGGGATTACAGGCTTAGCCACCGAGCCCGGCCAGTATGTGGAATCTTAAAAAAAAAGACAGTAGAGAATAAAACAGTGGTTA